GAAATCCCAAGAAGTACAACATCGTGCGGGAAGTTTCAGTTTGATAAGCTTACTGCACACCTGACGAACAGCTGTGTAGTAGTCATAACTTCGCCATGGATCATGATCACGTATAATTCACCCTCTTGCCTTTCATAACGTATTATCACTGGCGCGTGTCTATGTGTGTGCGCGCGTGTGCTGAAATATTTTACAATAAATATTAACCAATACTGCATGCAAGTGAAGTTTCATGCAGCATCAGATATTATTTTAGTCATAATTACAACAGCAATTGGAGCGAATGTTACCGCTGTTTTTATCAAAATTAAAAATAATGTATAGGATTTGGCACATATGTAACGTGCTGAAATGTTACATTTATGTACACAATTATCATTTACTGCTAATGATCTGCTTTTAACAAAATATGCTTTGTGTTTATCCTTTTTTAAGTATATGTTTTATAGATACATAAAGATCTAATAAATAAAGTGTTCAAAAATAGACTGATAGACTAAATCTTGGAAATTTTTAAACGCATTTTACACATCAATTCTATATTTATCAAAATCTGGTTCTATTTAAATAAAATCACTGGCATGATCTATTCACATCTCGGCGATATAATATTATTTTAAAGCCTATGACAGCGTGAAATGCGTTGCAGCCGGTTGATCAATTAACTCACAAAGCTGTATGCGAGCCGATGTGTAATATACGATCATTATCATATTTCTATTGATGTTTCCCCCACAGAGTGTATATTTTTGTCATTATGCAGGGTCAAGGCCATCTTAATGACACTGTAAATTTTAGAATATCTGAATATATATGATATTACCACAAAAAATATCAATGTGAATTTAACACTAAGTGATATCTATAATTTTCAATGTATTGATGTTAATATTAATACCAACACAAATATTAATGATATGTATACATACATGAATTTATATCAATATTATTATGGTATGAATTTAAATGGTGTTAATCCACGTCATATTAGTGTTAATATTAACATCATTACAGAATTATATTGATACCACATAGTGTTAAATCTACACTATTTTTTAGAAGTGTATATGTTACAATAATTCGTTAATAATAAGTACAGAAAATTGAATCCAAATTGAAACAATTTCTATTGCAAATGAATCGCGTAAATGAATCTGTGCCGATGTGTAATTTACTAATTGAAATCTACGCGAAAAGCGCATATTTAACTTTACATCAGACATTATTGTTTGTATAATTTAAGCATTCATTATGATGCATCTCACCATATTATGTTTACCTATATATACTATATACTGACACGTGTTATATCGCTTTACTTATTGATACAAGCTTTTGCTTTTGTTATAGAAAATATGTATTAATATGACAATCACGCTTATACTTGCACTGAATTTTATACTAAAAAATATTTTTAATTTTATTTTATAAAATTCTTGCGTTAATTTTCTTTTTTTAATTTTTTTATTTCTTGGACCATTCGATACAAATAGACAACGCGTTTATTTCGTTCGAAAAGGATCTTAAGTTTTTTAATGAAACATATTTATACATATAAGTATCATAATATAATTTAAAAAAAAATAATTTCTGTTTCAAAAAGCTTTCATATATATAACTTTTATTAAAATAAATGATATTATATGCATATATATATATATATATATATGTAATAGAAAATACGTATAATTTCATAAAAGTTACAAATTCTTGCTTTTCCTTTCCATTGAAAATTTTTAATTAATTTTAATTTAATTTTTTGAAAGAGAATTTAATTAATCCCTATTCATAATTTTTTACATTTGATATTTTTAGCATATAATTAAATTTTAAATATAAAATGTTCTAAGAAAATAAAAATTATTTAAAATAAAATCGACAGGAAATACGTTCATTTATTCACTTTCATAATGTTCAATTCTCACTGAATTTAATTACTTATTTTCTCAAACTTATTCTAATTGATCCAGTTTTTACAAAATTATCATTCGTTCTTTGTATGCGTTCAATTTTATGAAATGAGTTTCCTCAATATGGTGAATATGTCAAAAACCGATTGCCTCTTCATTTTTCATCGAGCGTTCTGTTAAAATCGCGGTGCATCTGATTATGCGCCGGCTGCAAACAACTCGCTCGTTCCACGCACGCAATGTGTCGCGTGCTCGTGTCTGTACACACGAGTGTGCGTACACATATGGATTGCTGCCGCGCCGTAGGCGGAGGAATGAACTTTCTCGCGCATAACTTATGTAAATTAGCCGACTATTGTGTACGGTTGCTTAATGCATTTACGAATATCAATACTTTGTAGAAGTCTTGTTCAGAACGATATCTCCTAATAGGCGTCTCTTCACGCTCCACAATTTTCTTTACGAGGCGCCAAACTAAGAATATATCTCGTATTATGTACGTCACGCTACTTGAGGCTAATCTACAATACGATCTTTGCTTCCTGTTCCTTGCTTTTTACCTCTTACGTTTCTCTCACTTCGCGATTATTTTATCAACAGTCATGTAAGTCGTGTTTCTTGTTTCGTGTTTTTTGTCTCTTTCGTCAATTTTTATCTCGGATGATAGAAAATGGAGAAGATAAAAGACAAAAGGGCAGAAGTAAAAAGTGATAAAAACAAGCAGAAAGTAAAGAACTCGTAGTATATTACACACGTATATATATAATGCGTATCCATTAATTAGCGTAACTCTTGCGGAAGGAATGTGCAGATATTTCTTATTTATTTCAAAGACTAAAACATTAATTATTATATCTCTTGGAATTCCGAGAAAATATATTACTTCATAAAGTTTAAACTTTATAATTCGCATTAGATTTCAGGATTGAATTCTATTTATAATTTTATATGCTATATGAATTTTTATATATTGATAATAATTAATCAATAACAATAAAAGGGCGAAGTAAGAGTCAAATTAAGATTAAAATTTTGAAAATGTTGACATATTAAATTTTAGACTAACAATACAAATTTATTAGAAATATGATTACAAAAAAAATCTACTTAAATTCTACTTATATAATGATGATATAACGATGTAACCAGTTTCGACTCTGAATACAGTCCTCCTCAGACTTATAAATATGTTTGATGGATAAAATTGTTAAAGTAATGTGTATCATTGTTAATGGAACTATTTCTGTAAACATTAATATAAAAGTTTTATAATGAAAAATAATTAAAAGTGAAAAGAAAAAAAGATTTACTTACAATAGTCAATAATAAAGTAAGTAAATCTTTTTTATATTAATGTTTACAGAAATAGTTCTATTAACAATGATACACATTACTTTAACAATTTTATCCATGAAACATATTTATAAGTCTGAGGAGGACTCTATTCAGAGTCGAAACTGGTTACATCGTTATTTCATCATTATATATAAGTAGAATTTAAATAGATTTTTTTTTGTAATCATATTTTTAATAAATTTGTATTGTTAGTCTAAAATTTAATATGTCAACATTTTCAAAATTTCAATCTTAATTTGACTCTTACTTCGCCCTTTTATTGTTATTGATTATTATTTACATAAAGAGTCCTTGTTATTTTTCAATTTAATGTTTATATATTGAATATTTTAATATATATTTTATTTACGTATGTATTCTAATGTTTTTGTTATTACATAATGTAAAAGATGAAATTATAAATAAAATTCTAGTTGGCGTAAATTATAGATATTATCTAAATTGTTTTATTATACATATATAATATATATCATATATATATATATATATATATTTATAATGTGTGTGTGTACGTATGAATTTTATACATATATGGTTATATCCTAAGGCTTTAAACATTTTCTGTGTTACACGATGAAATTATAAATAGAAATCTATTCTTAATTCTGATACGAATTAGACTAACTTTACGTCTAAAGTGAGCTTGAAATAAAAATTGAGAGAGAACCATATATATATTTTCAAGAAGCACAACACATCTTCATTGTATAAAACTTTTTTTTTTTTTTAGAAAAATAACTATAATCGGAAAGATTGGGAAAGTTTCACAGCTCGAACTTTGTAGTTCCCGTTTAAATATCCGCATGAGAATTGAGAAGTGCGTAGGTTGCACGCGCAGCGGGGTCATTGTGGCGCCTCGAGATACTCGAAGTCGAGGTTGAAACGAAGTGCAAGCCGTGAAGTCGAGGCCGTTAAGTTGAAATTATTGCGTGGGCTATGCAACAATCGAGTTCGACGAAGAGGACTCGAGTATTGTAGGTTTCATGTGAAGTCAGTGCGTCTTGTGAGCATGTACTATATCGACACGCGTTCGGACGCACTTTCTTTACGAAGGCCGAAGTTTCTCGAAGGTTCCGTGGTGTAGCGGTTATCACGTCTGCTTTACACGCAGAAGGTCGCCAGTTCGATCCCGGCCGGAACCATTTTTTTTTTCTTGTCGCATCTATGAACACGAGAACGATCGTAAAATACAATCGTGTTTGATGATAAAAGGTTAAATAATAAGTGAAGCATTGATTATTTCTTATTTACAAGTATAATCGAGAAAAAAGAAAATTATAAAATAACTAAACTAATAACTAAAAACTAATAACTTGAAAGAACTAAGTGAATTATATAACTGCATTCTTCGTTTAATTTTTTAAACTAAGAATTTATTCCAACTATAAATTAAATTTAAGTGAATTATAAAACTACATTCTTTATTTAATTTTTTAGACGTGAAATTTGTTTTAATTTGAAGATTAATCTACATAATCATACAATATGCTTTTTACTACTTTTTATGTCTTGCATTGTTGCCTCTTATTGTATTTTTTGTTTCTTATTTTTTTCGTTTGAAATAAAAATTGACGAATCTTCAAGAAAATATCAACTCTGGATCGAGCCTAGATATTGTCGTTAAAAAATAATGCGCGGGTTACTCTGTATAAAGAAACCATCTTAACACGAGTCATAAACTCCGACATCCCATTTTACGTGCGATCTCTGACCGTAACTCTGTTCTTCTTGCAGATGTCAACGTGACGGGCCGATTGAAGAGTTGCGATGCCGTAGTCGTCGCTATGAGCGAGAGCCGGTGCTACACGGATTCGCCCGTGCTCGCCGAACATCAGCCCTTCAACCGTAATGGGAAGGCGCTCAGGTACACGATTACCATAAGTGCATACCACGCCAGCGTGCAAGCTACGCCGACCTACGAGCTTAATCGCCTGCGACAGGGCGGGCGTTGATCGTGCTTTGATTTATAGCTCGTAATTGAAGAGTATAATTCGAAAACGACCGGCGCGCCGGTTGTTTCCTATCAACTGTGTTCCAATGCTGCACGATAGTTTAGTCTTCGAGATCACTGGAAGAGAAGTTGCTAAGAGAATTAAAAATCGTCGGAAAATGCTGCTGAATGTATTATTTATATCATATTCAAGTCCTTTATTCAAACATAAGATTACTTGAGTCATATAGTGTGAAACAAAATAATAAAAGGACTTGTGATATATATAATTATAAACAATAAATAATAACATACGAGCTATAGTAATCAGCGCGTATACTTTTGCTAAAGATAGCTTAAAGTTAAAGTTGAAACGTACAATTTGTTTAACATTATATCAATTTATTTAAATCGACTTTGTTTGTTGATTTGCGCACCATCTTTCGCGCTGACTCTTCATGGTTCAATCATTATAATTTATAATTATTTTTGAGACAATTATATATTTATAGTTGTTTTAATATGTAAATATAATTAATTGATTAAGAATAGTTTTCACTCTGCTTGAAAATATTTTTCTTGACATATTTTCTAGTTACTATTACCATATAAATAATAAATGATTTTAAGAAAATAATAGTAATAACCACAAAAATGAAATGAATTCTAACCATGTTATTTTACCATGCAGTTATATATAGCCACAATGCCAAAACACTTCTTTTAGTGTATCTTTATCAAATAATTTTCCGTTTGTAATAGCATTTCATGCAATATAACCATATGTACATATATAGCAATAACAAATCTTGAAGCGCTTCCGCTACGCTTATTGTATCGAATTCTCGTTTAAATCACCGCTACCATGGTATTGTCGGTCGCGATAGAGCCTCATGAGAGAATGTCCGATCAGATTATCGATCGAATTATGGTTCCCGGTCTAATCAGATTATACCGTGGAATTCTAGCTCACGTTCCCGTCTCGTAAAGTGGACTTAGAGATCTAAGGCATAAGACCCGCGCCTCTTCTTGTTCGCCGGAGACACTAACGAGGGTTGATTTCCAGGGGATCTAAGAAGAGCGTGCTGTTCTACACGACCGACTGCGGAGACGAAAAAGAGGACCTGGGTCTCAAGCTTCAACAGCGATCCGTCTCATTGGTAAGCTCCGCATTAATGTCAAACAGCCCGATTGCGTACATTTGCATGATTTTATCAATATCTCACATCAATATTTTATTTTAATATCTCATGTAATTAGGATATAAACTAGTAAATATTTCTGGTAGAAAAGCCTATCGATTTGCCAAAAACCGGTTAGCAGAATGTTGTGCAACTGCAAATTTTCTAGTTGTGAACTTAATTTGAAAAATGGAAAGAACATGTAATGGATTAGGTATACCAGTTTTAATAAACGATTGATGCTTCCTGTTTCAGTCATTAAAGATTGAAAACTTATAATTAACCAGATTAGTACATTAATCATGTACAGAATATGCAATGCAAAAGATAACTCGATTTCAGTTTTAAAATTGTCTTCAAAATAATAATATCACATTTCAGATTCTCAGCATATAAGAAAGAGAGAAGGAGTAATTATCTAATTTGAATGCTTTTAAATAATTAAAAGATTATTTTTTTACTCTATTCTTTTTACTCTGATATTTACTTTACAACTTTTAAAAACTCGTGCATCGTAATAATATTGCTTGCATTTGCGTATTTTGACAGAGTTCACGGTAACTTTTTCTGTTTGGAAAGAAAACAACTGTGATTTTTATCAAGCGCTTTTGCAGAATTATCAGAAGCTTATTCATGTATTTAATGACGTAGGGCACACTGAAACAATGTAACGGAAACTGACACTGAATTATACAAAGCTCCGTAAACCTCGCGTGTGATGTACGATACGCAGGCATCATTTAGCCTCGAATCTTGTCTTTCAACGTATAACAGGCAACATGACCTTCTTTAATTAAATCATTGTTAACTGACGTTATCGTACAGAAAATAATCCACTGATTATAAATTCAAAGTTAAAATTACCTTATACAGAATAAATTAATCCAATAATAACTTAGAGAGTATAATAACATTGCGTATGCTTTACCTGAAATATACAGAGATCGCGCCTTCTCACCATTGATGTAGTTCGAGGAGTCGTTGCTAGGTGGAAAATCGATTATCGTTATTTCTCGTACCGTCGAAGCGTTAAAAGTAATATCTCACACCATTTACGGTTATTACGTAGTTACAAATACATGACGAATATTTAACAAATTAGATATTATTAACAATACCATTACCTCGCTTCAATATTTCTTTAAAATTTCCTTTTTCTTACATTAGTAATTTATTTTGACGCATTGTACGTCAATCGATTGTAAAATCGATTGTAAATATGAAAGGCAAGGACACTCTTTTGATAGAAGTTATTTTTAACAGTATATTAATCATGTGATCGCTGCAATTATCGCGTAATGTCGTCATCTTCTTTATGTTACGTTTATCGTCTTCGTAAAAACGTCATAATTCATAAAATAGTAACGTAAAAATATTATACGATATTATCTAGCTTGAGGAATTTTTTTCTTCAATTAATATTAAATGAAATTAATGCAGATAGGATCTCTCTCTCTCTCTTTCTTTTTCTCTCTCTCTCTTTCATTAAAGTTTCAGTTACCGAAACTTTAAATATTATATAAACATATAATCATACACATAAGTTTGTAACAACAAATTTTGATAACAACTTAGCAAATGCAAATGAAATATAAAGAGATTTGGTCTGATGGAAACTATCGCGATACTACGTCCATAAACACTCCGTGATTCTAAACGCAGTTCGTAATTTTCCTTCTCGATAGCATCGTACCCTATAAATTCTCAATTACCTCTTGTATCGGCAGCTTCGTCCTCATCGCTTAGACACTCCTATAGATATTCTTTATCATCATCTTCATTCTTACATATTCTTCATATCAGTTCATAAATGCGGATACACATACACATATATATATATATATATATATATATAATATATTTTTATATACATATTTACATATATATTATATATATATAATAAATAATTAAACTTTTTGTATAATACCTTTACGACCTCGACGTTTAACAGATGTCCAATTTTCTGTCATTCAATTTTGCTGATTATCAGCCACACTTGCTAAACCATAAACCTTCTGTAATTCTAAAGACGGCCTATGACTTTCCATTTCGATACTATCGCGCGTCGTAAATTCCCGATCGCCTGCTGTATCAGTTGTCCCGATGGTAACATTCAGACGCTTCTACGTAGACTCTTCATCATCGTCTTCGTCCCTCATCATTATCTCTATACGTATTCCCCGTGCTGATTTATGAACACCGGCGGATTGCCGGCAGAACCGCTATCAACGACCGGTGGTCCTGTACCTTGTTTCTTGCTAAACTGCATTGAAAGCAAATCTATCTTCTCCAAAGTTCTATAATAGACAAAGAAACAATTGATTGTAGAAACGAAAAATTCCAGTAGAACATTTAATAAAACATTAATTTGCGTAAATATTTTATTTCAAAATGTTACGAAAGAATTTTAGCAACAAGAATTATATTTAAAAAATTAATTATATAATACTATTCTTAATATATTATAATTATTATGTTTAATAGAAATTAAACTCTATGTAATTAAATAATTTACACATACGAAAATCTTTTTGAGAAACTAAAAGTTTTAACAATATACTTGATTTTGAATAAAATAAAACTTTGTTTCGAATACCATATAAAGTACATTAAAATATACTTTTACGTATAATATAATATATTTGCTTACTACCTTTTAGACAAATTCAGATCTTCGGCTATAAGAATTACATAAGACCTATTCTTTTTAGTTGAATTTCTGTACAGTTTATCTTTCCTCCTTTTCTCTTTACGTTGAAGAAAAAAGGAAAGTTGAACCGTGCAAAGAGTTGAGCTAAAGAAAATGGATCTATATTTATCTTTATGATCACAACGCTTATTTGTCGATCATTAACCGTAAAGTATCTTACTATCCTCATACTATCTACGATCCCCATAGCGTCGATAAAAACATCGGTAACGTTTTCGCACCCGCCTACCGTTAAACCACATTGAAAACTATTCGCTCACTCATGCGCCTAGTATTTCGCATCTTCGAACTATAATAGACCGGCAGGTAGAAAGGTGTTCAACGATCGGCTGCGATAAGGATCGGCAGGCATAAGTCGTTTCCCGCTAATCGCAGTTTACGAAGAAGTATCCAATATCATCGCAGAATCTTCCGCATCTTCTTGCAAACTGGAAGCGCGTATATATTCCGCAACGATTGCATTTTTGCTCGGCGTGCAATATTTCCTGCTTACACTAACATGCATGTTGCACCATCCTTGATTAAAACAACCATAATTACGTAAACAAATTCTTTTGTAATTAATTTTTTTTTTTTAAATTACTTTTTCTACCAGTATTAAATTTTTATTGTACACTACATTTTACATTCGACATTTTTGACAAATTACTCGATAAAATTATGATTTTCTGACACGCTTTTTTCCTTTTTTTAAATTCAGAGGAACATATTTATTAAAATCTAATTTCTCTGTTTTCTGTTATTATACGATATCGCTGTACTTACTGTATCTACACAATTTTTTATCTTATTTATACAGTATCTTCGATTACTTACTCCGCGAAAATTTAATTAATAAAACGTTGATTTCTAATTAATTGTTTCCTTAAAAATTCCAAGGGATTGTTTATCCTCTTATGTAATACCTATGAACACGAGGATGACCCTTGCGGCAATACGAGACCGGTTTTAATCGTTTCGATTAACCACGTTAAGCCAGCATGGTCGCGCTGTACACGTCCATATGGGTTGTTCCATCATGCTTTTACGATGGAGCAATCGCCCACGCCATTAATAGTGTTGCGCTCTTGCACCGTAGACGTATATCGATGAGATTTTCTCACGGCGAGATTTTACACGAACTTTTTTGAGACTGTAAAATACGTAAATTATGCGAAACATGATATTGAAAGTAACAGTTTCTCATTCGAACATCTTATTCTTGCGCCAAAAATAAGAATCAATCCAATTGTAGAAGAAATATTTAAAATAAAAATGATGAAAATATCATCGATTTATTTAGAGTGAATTTTTACGACGTTTACATAATAATTCGCTAATCGAATTAAATAGAAAAATCGGGAAAAAAATGAAAAGCCGATAAAAAAACTTAGGATAAATCTCGGTTACTGAGTTATCGATTAATTAACACAACTGATAACGAATTAACTAACAAAACGAATTGAAAAAATAATCGAGACTTTACAATTGAAACAACCGCGTAATTGGATTAGAGATTGCTATGTTCTCGTGTGTTCCAATCGATTTAGGAAACCGTTGTGTTCATTTTGGGTATCCCCGAAAGAGGTTTACAAACGTTACAGGTCAAAAGAGAATTAAACGATTTTTAATTTATTGTGCGGAAATCTCCACGTTAATTCTAACGGTTGGCGCATGTAAATGTGAGCAGAATATGGAGATGCACCGTTTCTATTGTTTAGTGGCTGTTCGTACTCGCACTTCCGTTATTTCCGTTATAGAAAAATAACTGTAATATGCGTAGCAGTGCATCTTTGAGTTACACTAGATTGCAACAGCGTGCTGAGCGTCACAGCTGGGATTATTGCTGAATAAGAGTAGAAGAAGGTCGAGAGTACTTTATACTGGATTTATTTTCCGAATACGTTGTTCCAGATGATACTTCAATTACATTCTGTCGTAGACGGCCATAATTACTATCGATCTGCGGCTCATACACAGTCAAAGATCCCGTCTGATAACGATTGCATTTAAATTAGTAAATTAATCAGGTCTCTCTCGAGAAAGCTTTTCGATGATTGAAGAATAAACCGATATTGGAGGACTTTATTGATAATGATCTTACAATGCACTTCCGAATCTTAACAATATAATGCTTCCAAATTTTTAATTCAATTATGTTGCAATCATAAACTGTACAGTAATATCTAATTGTATATTTAATTTTTATATATTGAATATGAAAATTTTGCTCGATAAAACTAGAATTGACAATTATAGTACATTTAGTGTAAAATAAAATCTAATTGTA